ATGCTTATTATGGGGAATATCCATCCTCACATTGGTTAATTATGTAATATTAGTTGTTTAATATAAATTCAACATTTTAATATAAATCAATTAGTTATATAACTACCTTTTTTGTATATTAATCAATATGAACATGAATATTCCAATTATTTCCATGCAATCCAATTTCTTACAAATCAATTAATTATATTTACCAATAATAATAAACCAAATAATTTCCCCCATATATTCCTCCAAACCACAACTTAACCATTTCTGCTTTCAGAAATATACAATTAATAGTATCTCAATTATTACAATTCCCTAGTTAAATAGAGCTTTTTTTCTTTTGTGTTTTAAAATCCTGAACTCTCCTCTTTTTCCCTAAATTTCCCATTGTTTGCACCTACCTTTTTTGGTGAGGAAAAAGAAAAGAATTCTGCCTGCCTAATTTTCCAACCTCAGTATAGCTAGGGGAAAAAAAATCAGCACTCTTTGCAAGGAAGCAGAAGAGCCCTGAGCAAAACAGCTGAGACAAATCAGCTGAGAGCCGGGAGGCCAATTAGCCTATGCTGAAGCTCCATGGGCCAATAAAATTACAAAAAAAACACCGAACCCTTTGTTAAATTGCTGGCTCCCCCGCCCCTCGCCCACCACTATTTATTGGCAATAAATAGTGGTGCGGAGGGGCGGGGCAAGCCAACAATTTAACAAACGGTTCGGCTGCACTGGCTCTAGGGCGGCCCTTTGAAGCCCCGTGGCAAGAATTTGAAGTTTTTTTTTCCTCTAGCCATCGGAGGCAGCAATAGATGGGGAGTGGGCAGGGTAAGCGAACGGCCGGTGATCCAACAGAGCAGAGAGAGAGGGTGAGTGAAGGCGTGGACGCTGCTTTCTCCATCCTGCTCTCTTGCATCCGGAGCCGGTGGGGAACCACGTGGTAGCCCACGTGGATCCCAGGCAGCGGAACTCAGGCTAGGGAAGGGGTGGGCAATTGTGGCTCTTTTACAACCTGTGGCCTTCAACTTACAGAATTCCTGAGACAGCCAAGCTGTCTCAGGAATTTTGGAAGTTGAAGTCCACAGGTTGTAAAAGAGCCACAATTGCCTACCCCTGGCTATGGTAGGCTGGCGCCGCGCGGGTGGGAGGCGAGGGGTGGGCGAGCCAGCAATTTAACAAAGGGTTCGGCCGAACCCCCTAGAACCCCCAGAATCCCACCACTGTGTAGGCCCCTCTTGATCTTGAGGCCCTAGGCTGAAGCCTAGTTAGCCTATAGGAAAATCCGGCCCTGATTGTCCTATACAGGGACCCTTGCTAGCCTGCACTCCACTACCCCAGCTCACCTTCACGGTTTTCTTCCACTGCTGATAACATGGGCCTGCTGCCAATGGCCCAGGCTGAGCTTCTGTTACAGGAAAAAACAGGCCAAAGCAGTCCTTAAGCAGCATGCCAAAATGTCTTTTTCAAAAAGCTACTGCAATCCAGCTCATCTAAACATCTCTTTGCAAAAAAAATGTCCATGCTTCAGATTGAGATTTGTAAGTGATCTGGAGCAAGAGGACAAATCGATATGACACTGGCCTTCACAAGCAAACTGGAGGCCAGATGGTTTTTGGCAGGCAAAAATGAATCTGGTACACTTCTCTCACCTGTTGTGATCTGCTTTCCTGACTTATGGTTGCAAGCTCATGGTGGATGAAGCAGCAGGCTAGAGATGGGCAAAGCATGGAGAAACGAAAGTCTGGTATGGGGAACAAGCAAAATGAACAATGCCAAAATTAGTTTTAAACTCAAATGATCAATGGATACCAGCCAAGATGCTCTAAAGTCATATTTTCCAATGAACCCAATGTCAAACAGAAGTGCACATAGGAACTGAAAGAATGTTTGCTTTTTTTCTTAGAACAACCCTGTGAGGTGGGTTGGGCTTAGTATGATTGGCCAAGATCACCCACTCACCTTTCATGCCTAAAACTAGAACTCAGTCTCCTAGTTTCTAGGACTTATCATTACACCAAATTGGGTCTTTTCATTTTTTGTTGGTGAAATTATATAGTCCCATAGATTCAATTTTTTTAGGCCTACTTCCATAATCATAGCAAGATTTTGGTAGAAGCAGTACAGTAGTATTAAACAGTAATCAACTTCCTTGTTAACATTTAACTTTTCTTTTAGAAACGTTCCATAGATTTGGGAATGTTGAAAGATGTTATGACCAGTCAAAATTGAGCTGGAAGGGACCTTGAAGGTTTTCTATTCCAGCCCCCTGCTCAGTGAGGAGACACTATGCCATTTCAGACAGTTGGCTGTCCAGTCTTTTCATAAAAATCTCCAGTGATAAAGCACCTACAATTTTTGAAGGCAAGCTGTTCCACTGGTTTATTGTCCTCACTGTTAGGAAGGCTCCCCTTAATTCCAGGTTGCTTCTCTCCTTGATTAGTTTCCATCTAGTGTTTCTTGTCTTGCCTTCTGGTGCTTTGGAAAATAAGTTGATTCCCTCTTCTTTGTGGCAGCCCCTCAAATACTGGAATACTGCTATCATGTCACCTCTAGTCCTCCTTTTCTCTAGTCTGGCCATACCCAATTCTTGCAATTGTTTTATGTCTTTGTCTACAGGCCCTTAATAAATTGTTCTTCTTTGCACTTTTTCCGAAGTCTCAACATCTTTTTTTGTAATGTGGTAATCAAAACTGGATGCAATATTCCAGGTGTGGTCTTACTAAGGATTTATAAAGTAGTACTAATACTTCATGTGATTTTGATTCTATGCCTCCGTTTATGTAACCATGGATTGTATTGGTTTTTTTGGCTGCTGCCGCACACTGCTGCCTGGTGTTTAAGTGATAATCCACTAGGACTCCAAGGTCCCTCTCATAGTTACTGTTTTTAAGACAGGTTTCACCTACTCTGTACTTGTACCTTTGGTTTTTCCTGCCTAGGTGTAAAATCTCCACATTAGATTTAATGTTGGATAGGGCCCATTGTTCAAGTCTGTCAAGATCTTTTTGGATCCTGAGCTTATTGTCTGGGGTGTTGGCTATTCCTGCCCTCTTAGTGTCATCTGCAAATTTGATGAGTTCCCCTTCTATTCCCTCATCTAAGTCATTTATGAAGATATTGAAGAGTATTTGGCCTAAGATGGTACTCCACTGCTTACTTCCCTCCATGTAAATGTAGTACCACTAAGGACTACTCGTTGAGTATGGTTTGTCAGCCAGTTACAAATCCATCTGGTGGCGATGCTGTCTATCCCACATTTTTCTAGTTTCCCAAGAAGTAGATTGTGGTCTATTTTATCAAATGCCTTGCTGAAATCTAAATATACTATGTCCACACAGCATTTTGCTAGTTACTAATTTAGTCACATTGTCAAAGAATGAAATAAGATTGGTTTAGTATGATCTGTTTTTAACATACCCATGCTGGCTACTAGCTATGCCTTTGTTTCTATATGTTCACAGATTATTTTTTCCAGTATCTTCCCATGTGTTGATGCTTTAGGCTGTTTGGTATGTAGTTTCCTGAGTCTGGTTCCCCCCACCACCACCATTTTTTTTTTAAGATGGGAACCACATCAGTTCTTTTTCAATCTGTTGGTAGTTCCCCAGTGTTCCAGGATTTTTAAAACATATGGTACAATGATTCTGAGATAACATCTGCCAGCTCCTTCAGAATCCTGGGATGTAATCTGCCTGGTCCCGTTGATTTATATTTATCAAGATCAGACAGGTGTTCTCTTACCATTTTCTTGCTTACTTTAATTTTTATTTCTAGTCTGCCTTTTACAGTTATGTTTTTGGTAAATTGGATTAGTTTCCTTTTGTGTGAAGAGTGATGCTGTAGTGGAATGGAAGGACTAAAAAACATTCCCAGGCCAGTCAGAGACAGCTTTATTACGCAAGGTTCAGAGCCAGATTTGTACCTGAAGCTTTGAACCAAGAAAGAACTCTGATACAATGGTTTTTATACATTTCTAAGACAAAGGATTCAGTGAGATCATACATTTTCCATATATGGTTAATCATGAGATCATACATCCGATTTTCCTTCTATGGTTACATACACTGTATATAATAAGTTCATCTAATTACTTAAAGCATTAATCTTAGTTTACAAAATTATCTTAGCCACACAACTTTTCTTAAGTGCTCAGAGTTGCTAATGGGAGAGTTACTACTATCCTTGGGTAAATTCATTGGATTAAGTAACTCTTTGTAACATATAGGTCTTTGTGTCATTCACAGTCAGGTCACTCAGATGTTTTTCCATATAGCAGTCCTTTCCGTGACATCTAGGTCTCAGAAGATAATTACCACTTAAAGGGGTTTAACTGTTTGTTAATGTAATTTCCAACAAGCACTTTCCTCTCTTATAATAATGTGAATAGATAGGGTCTCTCAGAGTTCATGTATCCAAGCACGTCTTCCCCTTATAATAATGTGAATAGAGAGGGTCCCCCAGAGCCCATATATCTGACTCTGTATGATTCCTATTTTATTCACATTATTTCTTTTGTCTACATTATTCTTTATTTGCTATTTACCTCAATGCAAAGAATGAGTTAAGCAGCTCTTCCTTTCTACTGCCCATTATTTCCTTGCCATCTTCTCTCTTTAGTGGACCACTATCTTCCTGACTTTTTTCTTGTTCTTGTTATCTGTATATAATGTGTGGTACACTTGTCTGACTAACATGAGTTAAAAAGACTAAGTTAATAAAAACAGCAGCATTGATATGTTCCACATTTTGTAGTAGAATAGGTTATAATGACCATTAAGATAGTTTCCAAACACTAAAAATCTGTTTGGTCCTAGTTTCGGCACTTTCAACAGGATGATTAAGGGGAGAACAATCAAAAGTGCTTGAATAGGCGAACATAATCTTGGGTTACAGCTAGTGAGTTTTTTCCATCGTGGTTCTATTAAGTGAAAGCCATTATTTCTGCATTCTACACATATAAAATAACTCACACGCTGTGCATTTTTCAGGATAATGTATTTCCTCTCAATGCAGAGACTGCAACCTTTCTCTGCTATTCAAAATGCGTTTATTTTACGAGCAAATCTTCGTCATTTCTTCACGAAAAGTGTTGCCGCTGGTTCGTTAGCGCATTCTGAACTACATTTCCCACTATTCCTCACTAAGAGCGCGAAAAGGGTAGCCTTTCAAGTTTCCCGCTGATTTTCGTTTTCTGCTGAATGCCCCCCTAAAGTGACAATAGGACAGAAAAGTGGGTTGCAGTGGAAATCCATACAAATTCCAACTTTCTTCGGGGTTTCGAATCGTAAAGGTTCGATCTTCACATTGCTTCCCGACAAAATAAGCAAGAAAAAGAACTCTAATCTGCCTTATTTTATTCCCCCGCCCCCACTCCCTCTGGCTCAAAATGGCGCTGGCAACAGCCTTTACGACACACAGTCTAATCACGTGATAATTTACGAGCCCTTCACCTCCCCTGTTCTCTATGGTTCAGCCGGTTGGGCGCGCGAGAGGCAGCCAGCGGAGGCGAGTTTTCTCATCCTTTCCGAGAAAGCCGTGTGGGCTGGAAGGGGAGCCGAAAGCGGCGGGAGCGTCAAAGACATGCCGTCAGAAAGGTTTAGTTCTGGTCGGGAGGAAAAAAGGGGGACAGCAGCTGTTCACAAAGAAAGAATTCAGGGTCTCTGGCGTCCCTCCTCCACCCATTTCGGTCTCATTCTCTGAGCCGGGGCAGGAGACAGTCGCCGTCATGTACCTGCAGTCGTGGACCGCTCGGAATGGCGCCTCGCTGGGCGGCTCTTTGTGAACTGCTTTTTCCTCCTAAACTGAGGCGATGCATGTCTGCAGAGGGTACCCTCGTTGCTCGAACAAAGGCGAGTGACCGCTGAGGGAAGAAAAAGCGGGTGCAGCACCGTGGATTACCTCAGGGATTTTTCCTCTCTGTGGCGCTGCGGGCGACTGACTTATTATGCGGCCCGCGACGCTCACAGCTGGGGCCTGTAATGTGCCTAATGAACGAGATGTTCAGGACAGGCGAGGAAAATGGCAACGCTGGTGGGGAGATGAGCGATCGGGGCGGGGTTCTCGTAGCCAGGCGAGGACAAGACCCGGGCTGATGTCTGCGGCAGATAAAGGGGCGAAAATCTTTCTTCAGTTCTCTTTGGAGATTTCGCTTCGTTGAAAGTTGAGCATGCTTTCCATCTCTCTCGCTTTTCTTTTTCCCCTTCCTTCTCGTCCCCGCCTTCCCTTCCCCATTCAAGATAGGTCGGGTGCACCATGACCCTGGCTGAGGTAGTAGTTTGTGCTGTTCTTCGGGTTGTGATACTGCCCGCTGTGGAGATAACTGCGCAAGCTACTGCCTTGCTAGTGCTGGTGATGATCAGCTGCAGATGAAGACAATAACAACAGGAATCCCCTTTGTTTTCCCAGGGATTATATTCGGGAAAGACGGGAACAGAACTTGGCTTTCTTTTGCCTCCTTAATAATCTTATGAATGTGTGGATTGGCTGGAATTTTAACGAAAATACAAATATTTAAGAATTTTCTTTCAGGGATTCTTCCAGGAGAATCATGTTTTATTGCATAAATAAATAAGAGTCTGGTAGCACCTTTTCAGAGTATTTAAATATTATTAAAAAGCACAGGCATTCATAGTTACAAAGGTTTATAACCTTTTTATAAAATCTGTTAATCTGAGTAGGTGCTTCTAGTCTCCTTACTGGTAGCTTTTATTACCTTTGACATACATGGAATATACATGACATGTTGAGAAATATTGCCATTAGGGCTAAATTGAAAGTAGAAATCTAAAATAGCTAGTATATTTGTATTTTGGGAATACATACAAGATAGCTTCATAGTTTCTCACATCTTAAATTTGTTATATAATTGTATCATAAAGCAAATGAATTCAAATCATGTTGCAATTCTGACTCTAAGATAGTTGAATGATAAAACCATCTGAAGTCTGAACATTGAGTTAATTGTGTGTCCTGTATAAATTATGTACTTTGCTTCTACTCTAGACAGATTTAGTTATTTTTTATTAATATATTTTAGTATTGAATGCCTTCCTAATAAGAGATATTATAAATTGGTGTTCTGATTGTTTTATATTGCAATTTTTTTCAAGTATAAAGGCATAAAAATTTCATGAAATCATGCATCTGTATATTTCAAAGTTTAGATTATAATAGAAAAAGTTACAATTGCATTAAGATAATTAAAATAACTACTAAAACTATATTAAAACATGAAATAAATTCATTGTGCATATTATCAGAACCCATATATTTAAAGATCTCTATATTCTCACCTTTGGTAAATGAAAAACTATGTAAACATTTTCTAAATAATTTTGAAACTGTTACTATAGGAAAATTTGATTGAAATACTTAACCTATGACTACTAAGAAATTCCACAACTTGCTTTTAGTAAAGGATTCATACATTAGGTTATTTCTTTGTGAAGATTCACTACCCAACCATAATGGAGGTCATTGCTCATAATATTTTCTTCCATATTTTTTAGTTTTATAATATTTTAAATGTGTAAAATATGTAAATTATAAAATAACTCTGAAAAGTTGTGCATTATAGTATATTTGTATTGATATAATAATATGTTCATTAAAAAATGTATCATTTTAGCAGTTAGAAAGTTATACATTGTAAAACAGCCTGTTTAAAGATGTAATTGAAATATAAGGATTATAGTAAAACATAAGGATTTTAGTAGTAGAGAAAGATCTAAACAATAGCAATATTTTTTCAGAGTTTTTGAAGTGACGTTTTAAGAAAATTGTGTATATGTATATGCGCAAACTCCTGCCTTAAAGTAAACAATACCCGCTTTAAGTAGCTTTATAAAAAACTTTAAATTCTGCTAAAACCTACTTTTAGCTTCTCTAGATTGCTAAAAACAGTAATAAAACACTTGTAAAAGGGGTGTTCTAAATGCTCAGCTGTGTTTTTACAAAACTGATAAGATTATAATTGTCTTTTTCATATGTTTATTATAGCTACCTCCAATGTTTACTTGTTTTTAAAACGAATTTGGAAGACTTACATATATCTATTGGGACATAATTGGGCTTAGTAATCAGGTTTTTATGAATGAAGCAGCTAGCTATGCATTGCAGACAATATACAATGCAGTTTTAGTATCTTTATGGTTAAACGTATTCAGAAATGTTTTCAATTATCTTTACCTCTTTTAATCTTATTCAGGAGTATTGTTAAAGTCAAAAGGAACAAAGATTCAACTGTTTAAATACAAAAGTCGTTAGGAAACATTCATAAATCATAAAGCAGATTATAACTTGTATTATTAATTAATAATTATTATGCTGCCTGACTCCCAGTTACTAGTAGTGAAAAACATTTAAAAACAAAGAACAGTACAAAAAAAATAACCTAAAGGAACAGATGACAGAGAGAGAGAAACTGGATAGAAACAAGGAAAAAAAGGGGGCATTGATCATTCTCACCAAAAATCTGGGTGAAGAGCCACATTTGAGATACCATTGGAGAAAATTTCAAATATGGGGGGGAGCCTCGTTCCATAGGGAACCTTCTGTATATATATATATGTACATGAGTATACATATGTATAAGTAAGTTGGGGATTTGGTGTAATTTTTCTTACGTTAATATCACCATTCTGAAAAATTGAATAGTATGTACAGTTTGAACAATGTTAAATGCTTGAAATGTTGATATGTTTTAAAGTAGTACTTCCATTATCGGCTTTTTTTCCAAATTGTTACTCATAATTCTAGTTCTTCAGCTTAGATATTTATTTGGTCTTGAATTTATTTCTTTTAACTTCTGTAAACAATGTATTCATCATTTGATTGCACAGATCTACAGTGAACAATGAAGACAATCCAATCTAGGTTATTTAACTGCAATATGAAAAAAGAAGACATAATTTCAAATTATAGAAATAAAGGATTCTTCAGAATTTTAGAGAAATTTCTTGATTTTTCATGAGTACTGCTCATTCAGTCTTTTCAACATTAAAAAGCTGTACTTAAGTAAAAGTTTTAACATCTGAATAGTTTGCTTTCATAGTTAAATACTGTGTAGACTAGACCAGTGATGGCGAACCTTTTCGGCACCAAGTGCCCAAACCGGAATGCCTGAATGTGTGCATGTGCGTGCACCGGAAACCCGAAGACCAGCTGGCTGGTGCACACATGCCTGTTTTTGGGCTGGTCTCAGGCCGTTTTCAGATTGTCTGAGACCAGCCATTTTCCGGGCCGTTTTTAAGGTCATTTTTCAGGCCGTTTTCTGGTGCCCCGGCACTGGTGAAGACCAGCTGGCTAGTACATCGGAAACCAAGAGAGCAGCTGGTGACGGCGCGCGTGCCCACAGAGAGGGCTCTGCGTTCCACCTTTGGCACGCGTGCCAAAGGTTCGCCATCACAGGACTAGACAATAATTCTTGATGTTAGATGTCATATTAAAAAGGTAAAGGTTCCCCTTGCACACATGTGTTAGTTGTTCCCGACTCTAGGAATGGTGCTCATCTTCGTTTCAAAGCCGAAGAGCCAGTGCTGTCTGAAGACGCCTCTGTGGTCATGTGGCCGGCCAAAGGCATACAGAATGTTACCTTCCCACCAAAGGTGGTCCTATTTTTCTACTTGCATTTTTTTACTTGTTTTCGAACTGCTAGGTTGGTAGAAGCTGTGACAAGTAACAGGAACTCACCCTGTTACATGGCACTAGGGATGTGAACCGCTGAACTGCCAACCTTTTGATTGACAAGCTCAGCTACTGAGCCACCGTGTCCCTTTAGATGTCATATTACATTGATCTTATTCAAGAGAAAATACGGAATGAAGCCAAAGAAATATGTTAGTGGTATTTCAGGAATTTTGTACAATGCAGTTCACAAAGAATAGTGAAAGAGAAAGGAGTAATTAGCAGAAAAGAGCTTGTGCACATACTTTTGGTTTGGGGTCTTTCTTCCTTTATTCCTCAACACTCTTGAATTTGAAGGACTGCTGGAAATAACCTGGCCTCCAAGTTAGTGTTAGTGAATTAATTATCCATTTTTGGATATCCATACATGATTATTCAATAAAAATATATACCATAGAGAAAGAACAATAAAATATAATTCTGTTATATAAAAATGTAGATGCCACTAGGTTTAGAAACTTGGGAATACAGACATTTTATAACAATCTTAAACCTTAAATTTATTCTAAGAAATAAATCATAAAATGTTACCTCAAGAAGTTCTTAAAAGAAATATCCAATTATAGTTAAATGCTGAAGTATAGCATATTTTAGACATTTGTTATGAAACCAGATTTTCAGAAATGCTTCTGAGTGTATTTGTCTTCATTACAGATAAGTAATTGTATTTTGAATATCCCTTCCATGCTAAAACTATATACCCTGTGTTTAGAAAGCTAGTTCTCAATTGGAAACATCCAAAATTTGTGTCCTCTACAACAGGGGTCCCCAACCCCCGGTCTGTGGACTGTTACCGGCCCAAGGCCCATTAGGAACCAGGTCGTGCAAGCAGTGGGCCAGTGTGAGAAGATCCATTTGTGCAAGCAGCAGGCCTGCATGCAAAAGCATCTTCCCCCTTCACTGCTCCGTGGAGCTGGAAAGGTTGAAGATCGCTGCTCTAGAATGTCTTCTGCAACTATTGATACTATTTCACATACTTCCAGAATGAGAAGTGATTTACAACTATAAACATAGACTGAACAGTGAAGTCACCACAGCCCATGTTTTTTGTTTTGTTTTATCAGTTCTAAAAGGACATTCACCATCATTTGATTACCCCTTTTTTAATTTACATTTCCAGATCACTCCAATAATTTTTATTTGCCTTATTTTTTAGATAACTAGAATAAATCTGTCTCTTAAAAATAGCAAAATTCTGCTACATTGTGGAAACGTCATCCACAAATGGTTGACAGCAGTCATTGATCTTGGTGATTAATTGCTTTGTTTTACTGAATATTTTTTATGACTGAAATAAAGTGTCAGTGAACTCAGCTGTTGGGAGAATATAGTATTAATGTGCCTAAAAGCTGATGATAATAGCAATACAGAAGAATCTTAATAGGATATATAGTATTGGCTCAGAAAAAATCTTAACTCAAAAAGCATGGTATTTCCTGTCAGTGTTTGGGGAATATGTATCATATTCTGGCACATCCTGATGCTATTTTACTTCAGTAGTATTTTTCTCATTTGATTTACTAATACATATTCTGCATAATCATAACTTATTTTACACTGCAAAACATGAAATGGCAGTTATTTACAGGGTACTGCCAACAGTACAAATAGAAACCATAGAAAGTTGCCTCAGTTATTAAAATTAGGAAAGGAGTGATTTTCTT